AGATATTTTTACTCGAACCATCATAAAAAGGGGAATAAATCTTTAGGATTATCTTAGGTATAAGAGTCACAATATGATTATTAAGAGTATCTGTTTTGTGCGGTATTCTGTGTCACTCTATTTTGTGCACTAGTACCATATGAATAATGTCTTGCACAAACTCCATATGATCAGTGGTCAACCTTTTTATTTCAAATCTGGATTTGTCCCTATAATGGCATTTGAATTATTTACTGAGATTTCTGAAAAAGTAACACTACATACAGGTAGTTTAAACATACATACACACATACACCTCAAAACAGAATGCTTTGGTTTCTTCATTTTGGAAATTCTCTGCTGAATCTAGGATTTAACTTTCCAACAGAATATATAATAATATATGTAATTATATACTTAGGGTTCACAGTTAAAGAGATGCTTCAAAAGAGATCATACTTTGATGGACATATTTATTTCAATGTTAGAAATACACACCAGAAAATTCCATTCATATCTGGTATCTAAAAATAGCTAAGCTTATTAACCTTAAAATCTAAAAGCAAATTCTTCAGGGAAAATTAATGGAAAGAAGAATGGTTTTGCGGTGGCAACACTAGAGTAGGATTTAGGAAATCTGGATTAAATCTGAGTTCTTCAAGTGCCTGTGTGACCTTGGTAAATTGAAGAATATTAATATTTCCTTTTCAGCACTCTTTGTCTTGTCTCTTTAAGAATGTAAGTTCTTTGAGAAAGAGACTACCTTTTGCTACTATGTACAGTTTCTAGCACAATGGCATCTGGAGCAACACTACTCAAGTAGTGTATCAGAGACACTACTATAATAAAAATAATGAATCATAAGAATAATGGATGTCACTCATAGACCTAAGAAAGACATTCTTATTCATTAATAATATTTCCATAATGAAAATACATTTCCAAATGTACATGATACTGTACAATTCGTAATAATAAAACTAGTCCTTTACTGCAGAGAGCTTGCACTTAAAGAACAGAAGCATGGCAACATCGATAGCGAAAAAAAGATTCTAACATTTTTCTTGTTGCGGAATGAGGTTTTGACAAAAGTTAAGCTTTTCATAGGAAAAAAAATGTCTATGGAATTATCCATAGGAAAAAGGAAAGGTTCTCTTTCAATTGAAAATGCTGAAACATTATATTATGACACTTCCACAGTGTTTTTCATTCTATAAAAAGTTTCACTATCTTGACCTTTTCTTCCAAGTAGAAATAAACACAAAGAGCAACCTGTTGGCATTTCCTATAGAATGAAAATTCAGTTCTTCTATTACTTTTCCATTTGTATTATTTCCTGCATATACAAAGTTGAAGACTTGTTACTTCTGAATTGGTCTTGTGGAAGAAACTGGTATTGAGAGGATCTTGAATTAGGACTGTGTGGGTGTGAACTGACTGGTCTGGGGAAGGCATTTTGTATACAGAAATTGTGTTATGTTGTGTATGTGTTGTATTATTCAAATAAATACCCCTTGAACATAAGTAATTGCACTAAAATCTTTCTATCATATCCTCATTCATGCAGTGCTCAATAATGTGAGTCCTCATTCACATGAGTTATCCCACGGAATCATTCACATGCCCTGGGAATAAGTGCACATGTGCATGCAGAATAAAACAGGTATTGGATAATAACCTATATTGAAAAGGAATTTCTGCACTTTAGAGTCTACAGAGAGATGGTGGTGAGCTAAATACAGGTCTTGCAGAACTACTTTCAAGTAAATGAGTGAAGGGGGCTGGATGCTGTGCTCGAATCTCAGTATCAACCTCCACCAATAACACAATGTACAAGTGACTGAGGATTTTGACATTAAGTACAAGATTCTCTCTCAAAATAGCATCTATCCGAACTGCAAAACCAGCATGAGCAAAGTTTGGATTTGTCTTATTATTTTAGAAATAAAAACTCCGCAGCCCTGTTGGTGGTTTGACCTTTTATACATAACATGTTTTAAAGGTTGATGTCCACATGGTCTACCTGCCATTTGATCTTTTTTCGTATTTTTTTATAGCAGACCTTAATCAAACTCTTACTGTGCTCACTGTATTCTGAAAAGATCCTATTCTTTGTCACTTGCAACCAAGCAATAATTATGTTCGTTCCAATGCATTACTCTAATAATAAATACTCCTGTGAAGATACAAAATAAAATCTGAAAAAAATTGGAAACGGTATTTACTTTGTGTGCATCAGTACATTTGTATGCAATATTAATTCTAAGTTTCTAGACCCTAAAGCTAAAATATATTCCTGGATCTAATGAATAGATAAATATAAACTAATAATTAAGAAATGAATGGATCTAACCTTGTGGGAAACTTGTAAATCCTATTTAAATTTAAGTGTTCTTATGCAGAACTCTGACTTTTTTGAAAGGAATGGGCATTCCTTGATGAACTGCAGGGATCTATCCATATTTGTCCTCAGTAAAATCTTCAGCAATTTCACAATAAAGGAATTAAAGAGTCAATAAAGCATTTTGGCTCATAATTAAGAACCACTAATATTAAATTTTGTTGAATATGATCAATTCTTCACAGAAGAAAGTTGCTATGGTTGAAAATCTTCAAAAAAAATCTGTCGTTAAGCCTTTAGATTTATTCTAATGATATGGCAAAGAGGGATTTACACAGGCAGAAGAATGACTTTGTTTAGAAAAGAAAGTAAGTTCAGCTTAAACAGTAATTCTGGCACAATGACAAAAATCCCAGTCTTATAAAACCTTAACCCATTTACTCTCAGAAGAAATTCCTACTTAAATGAGCTGTCCCATTGATTGCAATGAAATTACTGATATGAGTTCCTATTTTCAAAAACAGAATCAAATTTAGGGGTCCGATCCTGCAACCCTTGTTCAGATGAACTCTTTAGTAGGACTAGTTGTAGCATGATCATGTGTCCTGTTTTAGGTGGGACAGTCCTGGAATTCAGAGACTGGCTTTGGCTGGCTGTTGGGAAGTGTAAATGCAGGGGTGCAGTCTGGCTGGGATTCGGAGTGATACAAAGCACCTTGCAGGTGGGCAGGCCAAGCATGCAGCCCTGTCCCCACCAATTTGTGAGAGCATGGGGGTGGGGGCCAGTGTCCCGGGTTTCCTGGATGATGTCCCACATTTCCGAGATTTCCATATAGTCAGCCTAACTATTTGTGTAAGTGAGAACTTCTTGCAAGAGTGAAGATTTCAAGATGTGCCTTATCAACTGCATCTTTTCAGTTTCTCATGGTTCTATTGTTATGAGCTCCATCATCTGTACATTTGAGATAGTAAAATGTATGAAAGTGTATTTAATTGCATTTGTGTGTTTTGGGCTGTTGCTCCGGAAATCAAGTTCAGGATTATGGAACGGCTGTCAAACTTCAGGCTTCTGCCTTTAAAAGCTATGTCTTTAAAAGCTTCTGTCTTTAAAAGCTCCAGCTGTGCAAATTTGTGCAAGTGCCATTTCCAGCGTTTGTCTGTTGCACACTTTGTAAAAGGTCTTCATCTTAAAAGCAGGAGGTATGCTGGGAACCTGCCTCCAAATGCTTCAGAATGATGGCGGGGACCTTCCTCTACAATAGAAAACTTAAAACCCATCCAAAAGATCTGCTAGCTTTTCAGTCTTGTTCATTAACACCCTGGCTTGTCCTGGCCTTGCCTGGCCTGGTGTGTGATCTGACTTGGCCTGTCTCTCTAGAGCCTTTGTGCCTTCCAGAGCTGTTGCTAGGAAACCATTGCTGCTCTCCATCCCAGTGTATATTTCTGAAGCATATGAAATCTGCCAAGTATATCCATAAATGGTCTGATTCTTGGGAATTTTGCCATGGATTTGAATGAGATCAGGATCATACCTTTTCTTTAGTTCTCTCCTCAAGATGCAGATGCTTCTCTCTTTCCCATACTAACTGACCACCCAGTGTGAAGAAAAGCTGCCTATGCTACCTGCTCACTCAATATCATTCAGGAAAATAACACCTCTCCAAACAATTCCACTTTTCAATATTGCCCTTTTTTCAGAGCACAGATCCAAAGATGTTTTCTAAAGAAGTCAACTGCACTCCCCTGCCCATCACACTCATCTTGTGCTTTCTGATCTGTTTGGCAACCTCCTGACCGTGATCCTAACTTTTGGCAGATGAGACTGTTGGCTAATAACATCACTTTACTTCTCTAGCCCTGGCCATCTAGGGAACAGGAAACACATTACCGTTGTTAATGAATAAGGCCTCACACCATCCTCCTAAGAAAGAATTTGCAATCAGCTCCCACAATCCCATTAACATATGACAAAAATCACTCAATATGAAACAATTTGCAGGCAGGTTTTTCTGTGAATTAATTTTCAACACTCATTTTGTAGGATTCATCAAGCTGCTTATTTCTGACAGTTAATAGCACAATATGCCCACATCCCTCACATGTTAATTACATCATCTGCATATACACAATTGTGCATTTAACATTTCTTTGCCCACAGGGAACAAAACGAGGGAAATCTACTGTATCTGCTCGTTTGGCATAAAACACAGCAGAACTTAAAATCTCTGCTGTAGGTTTTATTTATTCAGCTCATACTCATTCAAAACCAGGTTCAAATCACTTTTTGTTTAAATCTTCTACTTTTGCCTTCTGGCTGTCAGTACAGAACATCACAGACTCAACTTGGATATATGAAAGGTAGGGCACATATGACCCTTCTCAAAATGTACCGAGAGAGAAACATTGAGGGAAACTCTTAAATAGCAACGATAGCCTGGATAGTTTTACAACAAATCTATCAAAGCCCATCTCAAAATATAGCTGACAGCCCCCCCAACACACTCATTTGAGAAACAAATGGACAAAAAAAGGAAAAACTCAGAAAGAACTACAGAGGTGACCAGGATACTTGGTCAGAGAAACAACCAAGTTTTGAAACATTCTTGTATTTGTCTTTTAATATTCTTTTTTTTAAACTCTCACCATAACCAAAGTATTTTTAAGGAAGAAAAAGGCCTTACCATGCAGTGCATCAGGAAGAGAAGAGACTCACAGAGCATGCTGCAGAGATTATGCTCAGCATGGCATTCAGATATCCTTTGGAATTGAAGAAAATTGTCCAACCCATTCTTTCTAACAAAGCGGACAAGTTTTCTCTAGGCTTGAAATTTTCACCGGAAGTCAGATCCTTAAAACGCATTACATTTTCTTCTTCGGGAGATATATTTCCTCGAGTTACGTTTCAGCTCAGCAATGCCATTTCCAATCAGCTCTAAGAAGTTCTTCATTCTCAGATCCGTGGTGTCATCAGAGGGACTCCAAAGAAAATCAAAGAAAGGAAGAAAAGAGGAGGGGAAAAAAGAAGAAAAAAGGGGAAAAAAAACCTTACTAAAACCCTGAAATTACTCTGCAAAAAAAAGGAAAAATTGCATTCTATGTTTCACAATAAGCAAGCCCACTTATTTGACCTATTGTACACAGAGACAGTTAGCACGTAATACACAAATAAACAACCTCCCCCCCTAAGAAACCCCTTTGCCAATGCTCACATGATGCCTTTTCGTTATAGTTGCTTGACTGTGCACAACTGAACCAAACCGAACCATGTAATCTGACCGAACCTTTGAAACCATCTTACCAAAGCATCAATTGTTACTTTCCTTTCACAACTAGCAACAGGATTAGCAATTCTAGATTCACTTTGGAGAACACTTGGCAAAATAAATAAATAATCAAAAAGAGCCAGTAAATTAAATATAAAAGCAACACTCCCTGTAAGATAGGAGAGCTTAAGAGGTGCCTTGCTTGAAGTGCTAGGGAGATGCACAAGCTAAAACACTGTGGGGGAAGGAGAAGGGATAAAGAATAGAGTTGCAAGAAGGTTGGGGATAAGCCAGAGGATGTGGGGGGGAATAAATGGGTGTCAGACTTGAATGGGATCCCGAGTGCCCCCCTGAAACCTCCTGTTTTCTTGCTGACAGCAGCTTGGGTTTCCCCTGTGCTTTCTGCAAAGCATATTAATTGATTCTGGTTGCTGAGCAACTAACTCTGGGGAGCTACATTGACGCCTTCACCACAGCCTCAGCAGAAACAACACTGAGAAGGGATAATCCAGGGAGGATGGTCTCCTCTGCCTCCCACCCCCTCCTCTCCTACTTATTTAATCCTCTCAGGGTATGTTCCTGGCCCTGCAGGAAAGCTTGGCAGATTTTTGCACTGGAAAGGAAACAGCCCACACTAATGCAGTGGGGAGAAGATGCAGGTTGCCCCCTCCCTTCTATGTTGCGCTGACAGGACTCAGCTGAGCCTTGTTTCGTGCTGACAGCACTGATGCTGCTGCAAATGGGAGTCCTCTGTTGCTACAGAACCGGGCAGGATCCGTACTGGATGGGGGCACTCCAGGCCAGGAGGGCTAGGTTGGCCCTGGAAAACCAATCCATGCTCATAAGAGAGGGGCGAGCAGGGGGAGAGGGGATGAAATAAAAGATATATACAGTTTTCCCTGAAGAGCAGAGTGGAATTAACCTCCTGGCTGTATAGGCATGCTGCAAAAGATTTAACTAAGGCAAGAAATAACTTCCATAGCTGGAAAGATACTGTACTACTGACCACCACCAAAGCAATGGCAGCTTGGACCCTGCTGTTACAATCCTGTTCACTTCACGGTTTCATTATTTCAAATTGCTTGCATTATGTTGTACATTATGAACACAGAGGAAGACACATTCACTGACCAGAAGAGCTTTTAAACTAAAGTTTATAATCTAAAGCAGTTGTCTGGATGCATTTCCAACCATCTGCATTATTGAGTTAGCCAACTGAATTCCTACACTGACTTACTTGATCTTCCTTTTAATTTGATCAAACTTCAGGAGCCAAATCATATGTAGTTTAAAAAAAACAAAGAACAAAAAAAAAGCAGAAATGTCAGGTTTGATTCCAGTCATTTTTGACCTCTTGAAGCAGGTAGTATGGGATAATTGAGTCACCAGTAATAGCAAATTTCCCTTTAGGCTTCATTCGAGCAGTCACTCCTTTTGCACAACTGGATCATTAATAAGGAAGGCCAACATGTTGACTGGGACAGAAGAGCAGGAAATAGAAGAGACACCAGTGTTAGGACGACAAACCAAAACCAGTGAACTGGCCTGATTTGGAACTTGATAAAGTCGATGGTTTCCAATGACTTAAATGGTTTCTGGCCTACAGACA